TTATATGCAAATGAGGCACAGGGCAACCTGGTCTGGCTCCACCTCATGTAGGGCAGGTCTGTACTAGTCATACGTGACAAGCTGAGACAGGGGGTGACAGGGATGCTGGGTGAACTGTATGCAGTGTCATGGCTTACCATGACATCAAAAAGAGTTGGTAGTGAGTGGGACTGTGCTTAATGGGTACTACTATATATCTTATTCAGATGGGCTATCCTAACTTATTTTCCCATCAGCATACTTACCTGCCAGGGGAAACACCATGTATCTGGGTCCATGAGGGCAGTTTTCCTTAAGTGTTCCCAGGGATAACTGTTTTCTGGCATGGTTTTCTACCTGCTGAGGTGTTGGGGCTTAAAGCCCACTTTATGGAAACAGGAGGCTCCTCCCTAGCTTGCTTCGAGGTCAGGTGAAACTTGGAGGCATCCGAGCCCTAAGCCTCCGGGCTTGGGCATGCACGTAGGGTGCCTGTCAAAAGACTTGGGAAATAGTTGAAGCCCCTGGTGGGAGTGGAGGATATTTGCCAGTTGTAGGGCCACTTATGTTTCTGCACTGACTCACAGATTTGGACTTGATTTGGCTTGAAACATGAAAAATTTCTTTTAAAAAAAATCATCATGTTGGCCCACTGCATCATGTGTTTTATAGTCATGCTCAGTGTTGGCTGCGTTTAATTAACTTTATAGTTTGTTTTGATTGCTGAGCACATGCTGCTTTTGGCAGCAGTTTAATGACAGAGATTGTATTTAGTGAGATTTCCTAGTATGTGATTATAAGATGAGGGGTTTTTTTCTCCATGCCAACTGAGGGGGGGTGCTTATCTTGCATTTGAGCAAATTTGGGATTGATAAGTGTTCTCTGAAAACTCTTAAAATTCTTTAGCTGATTGGAGAAATTGCTTTTCAATTAAAGAAATCTCTAATTCTTCCAGTCTGGCCTGGGCATGGTGACCTGCTTCCATAATACTATAACAGAAAACTTCTCAAAGCACTTCTACAAAGGTGTCATTTTTCCTCATGCGTACAGGTGAGGAAACTGAAGCAAACCACCTATCTGATTTGTCCAAGGGCAGAAAGTCCAGACCACCTCCAGCAATAGGACCCAATTTCCTGACTCCTCACCCCTGTTCCCTGGACTGTGGTACTTCAGTAGCCTCTAGAGAGTGACCTAATTCCCTGAAGGAAATAGTGTTATGTCCAGAAATCAAGCCTGGCTTCCAGTATGGTAGTGTTGCTAACAACCTAGATTCAAGATTACTGTACAAAGCCTGGAGAAAGGACTGGAATCTGACCCAAATTCTGTAACTGCTTTGGTACTGCAGGCAGAATATTATGGTCATGACCTAATGTAATATTTCACTCTGTGGAAAGGCTCATGATAAAGTATAGCCCTGTGAAGAGAATCCATACATCTCCTGTGGTGAAAAACGTGATTTTGGATTTAATCCTACTGGAAAAAAATATTCGAGTACTGTATCTGTGTTACAAATTGTGAGCTCTTTCCACTAACAATCTACAATTTTGGTGTCTCGGGAGGGAATCAAGTATCTGCCAGTAACACCCATCTATAATATACTGTAGCTTGAAAGTAATGAATCACTTATGGGAAGACATCTGTGCTGAAACTCAGATCAATATTTCTAGTTTCCAAAGTAAGTCTCAGACTAAAATAATCCCCTCCCATTACTTGACCTGCTTAGCCTGGCTGCCATAGACTCCTAAACCTTTTTTGTGTACACGCCTGAATACTGAATCAGCTCTAATATTCTAAATTAAAATATTCTAAAATATTCTAAATTAACTGTTTGAGCCTGCCAAAAACCATATGTTTGTTTCCCTTAAGATTTTCTGAATACTGGTGAGGTTACTACTTTGCATTTGCAAAGTATCTTCCATATGAGGATCCTGAAGCACTTTGCAAACCTTTGTTAGCAACTGGTTGGTGAACTAAATATTGTTGTTCTCATTTTACAGAATTGGAAAAGGAGAGGTTGAAACACTGAGGCCGTGTAGGAAGTGTTTGGGAGGTCATGAAATTGCTTCCCCTTCCCATCCTTTCCACTTATATAAACTGCAGCAGTATAGTTATATAGTCCCTTCTGTAGATTCTTTACAGGGGGCAGGTCCTTAGCACCTGTAAATTATGTAAGGTTGGGCATTTGACCAATCAAATAAAGTTCATCACTTGACCAGTCAAATATTGGTCAAAATTGTAAAAAAAAAAATTGCCATAGAGCCAAATAAAACACAGAAAAGTACAAATTTTCCATTAAGAAATGTCAAAAAATAACAAAATCACATTTCTTTCAATAAAACTATAAAAAACGTTGGGTTGGTTTGTTGGTTTTTTTGTAATATTCCAATCTAGTTTTCCAACCCTAACGTGATTCCTAATGAACTGAAGATCTACTTCATGACATTTCCTAGGATGGCTATCCAGAGAAATTTTTCAACTATTTCACTTTTGCTGTCTGTGCACCAGGACTTCCAACATGATTCAGTAATGACTGGTTGCCACATTATGCATGGGGAAGACATATTAAACAGTGCTGAACAGTTAGAGTTCAGACTCTGAAAAAGAAAAAAGCTCTGACAGTTTTCTTGGCTCTGCCTGACTTCCACACAGCACTGAAGTGTTTTCAAGTCCCAAAAGACTAATGGACAGATACTGAATTACTGCTTGAATAATACATTATGGAGTATAATATTCAGACTTGCCAAGAAGCCTAGGATCAAACACAGAGATACAACACATACTGAATGTACAGCAATAGGGTATGTTTTGTTTTATTTTTTAAAGTATCTTTAGCAAATGTTACATGTGTGAACACAATCTGAAATTTCTAAAGCCTAAAAGCAAATTAGAGTTTAAGCCAAAACTGATACTGAGGAAACAAAATCAAATCAATCATAGGTGATGTGGGGGTCACAACTCAGTGCTGCTGCTGCTGGCATTGGGTCCAGCAAGGCTGCAGCCCCACCACTGGTGCAGGAATTGCACCACTGCTGCTGAGCCCTGGCTCTGGCCAGGCTGCAGACCCGTGTCCTGCTGTCAGCATAGAAATCTGGGAGTGGGGCTTGGGCCCACCCATGTCCCTCCTAACACATTGGCGATGCAACCAATTATTTTCCCTCTCAGTTTATAAGTAGAAATTTTCTTGCTGCCCAAACTGATTCAAATTGCTAGACAGGTTAATTCACACTTAGAAATTTCATCACTTAGTGAAAATTTTCTGTCTTTCAAAAGTAAAGGAGATTCTAATTATTTTCAAATGGCTTCCTCTTTGCTTGTAGGTTTCCATGAAACGTACACAGATTAATATTAAAGGGAACTACGAAGGTCTGAGATTTAAGTTCCCACATCTAAACATCTCTAAAGTTTGTAAACTTGGATTTGAGCCCAACTTTGCCACTTCAGTCCATTTTCCAACATAACAGTGAACAGAGTAGGTAATAGGAGGTTCCCAAAACTTATTTAGAGATGCCAATATTGTCTTCCAACCATGCAGCCTACATACCTGGACACCTCTGTAAGGAAGGAGGTAGCGAACGTATGGTTTCATAGTTTCATAGTTGATAGGGTCAGGAGGGACCGAGCAGATCATGAAGTCCAAACCCCTGTCATGGGCAGGAAAAAATGCTGGGATCAAATGACCCCAGCTAGGTGATTATCTAACCTCCTTTTGAAGACCCTCAAGGTAGGAACGAGCACCACTTCCCTTAGAAGTTGGTTCCAGATCCTAGCCGCCCTGACTGTGAAGTAGTGCCTCCTGATGTCTAGCCTGAACCTACTCTCGATCAACTTGTGGCCATTATTCCTAGTTACTCCGGGTAGTGCTCGGGGGAACAGGG